ACAAGCCAAATCCAATGTCGAGCAAGCTAAGCAATGCTCCAGAAATTCCATTATGCGCGTATACCTTCCAAACGGCTCGAATCTAGTCACAATTAATTTGTTTTAGCTTACAAAAATTATAGGAATTAATTTCATATCAAAATACTAATATTTTCCAAAAATCCGAAATTACGCCCCAAAAATACCTGTGGGGCCCACGTCTCGTAATCCGATAAAACTCACAATATCCGAACCCCCATTCAACCACGAGTCCAACCATACCAATATTACTCAAATTCGACCATAACTCGGCCTTCAAATCCTCAATTAAAGTCTATGAATTTTTCTACTATTTTCAACCCAAAACACTAAATTGTTGATATAAACAATAATAGATTCGTGTAATTTTACCAAAACCGAGTTAGAATCACTTACCCCAATCCATATGGTGAAAATCGCCTCAAAAATCGCTTCAATCCGAGCTCCATAGCTCCAAATGTGTTAAAATGGCCGAAACCTCAAAATATATCTTCTGTCCAGGCATTTACACTTCGCGATCGCGAAGCACAAAAATTGTCTGCCCAAAATTTGCCTTTCGCGATCGCGAAGAACAAATTCCCAGCACTTCCAGACAGCCTCTAGTATAATGGTCATAACTCTTTGTACAAAACTCCAAATTGCAAATGGTTTAACTTTCTGAAAACTAGACACCAAGGGATATAAATTTCATTTGTTTCTTCTCTTCCAATTCCTTACAGATTTCTAGATATAAGCTTCCAAAGTCAGCCCTGTGCAACGGAGATTTCCAAACTCTTCCCGGACAGCCTATAGTGTATCCACCATAAATCTTGGTACACAACTCCAAATTACAAATGGTTTATATTTCTGCAAACTAGACATCAAGGGCTATAACCTTCATTTTTGGATCATCTCCAAATTCCTTATAGATTGTGAGATATAAGTTTCCAAAATCGGGTTAGTGCAACAGAGATTTTGTTCTACGCGATCGCAAAAGAGCTTCCGCGTAGGCAAAAACCAGCAACTAAAAATGGCCTAGAAATGGTCCGTAACCACCCCAAAACTCACCCGAGCCCCTCGGGACCTTAACCAAATATACGAACAAGTCCCTAAACATCATACAAACTTAGTCGAAGCCTCGAATCACATCAAACAACGCTAAAACTACGAATCGCACCTTAATTCATGCCTAATGAACTTTGAACTTTCAAATTCTATATCTTGTGCCGAAATACATCAAATCAATCCGAAATGACTTCAAATTTTGCACACAAGTCATAAATAACATAATGAAGCTATTCCAATTTTCAGAATCGGATTCCGACCTCGATATCAAAAAGTCAACCCCCCGGTCAAACTTCCCAAAAATTCAACTTTCGGCATTTCAAGCCTAATTCCACTATGGACCTCCAAAAATATTTCCGGACACGCTCCTAAGTCCAAAATCACCATACGGAGCTATTGGAATTATCAAAATTTGAATCCGAGGTCGTTTACACATAAGTCCATATTTGTTCACTATTTTAACTTAAACTTTAAACCTTGGAACTAAGTATTCCAATTCATTCCAAAACCTCACCGGACCCGAACCAATTACCTCGGCAATTCACACAACAAATGTAAAGTACAATTTGAGAAGTAAATGGGGAAACGAGATTGTAATACTCAAAACGACCGGCCGGGTCGTTACACCAATCCCTCTTGCTTGTAGATAGCTAGGGGAATTAAGTTGATGCTAGCCCCATTATCCCAAAGGGCTAGTGCAAAGTCACACAATCCGATAGTGCATGGAATGGTGAAAGCTCCCGGGTCCTCTTTCTTTTGGACGGCGGTTGTTGCAATGATGGAACTAACTCGGTGAGTGACATTCACCACTTCATTCTTGGTGGTTTTGTTTTTAGTGATCAAGTCCTTCAATTACTTTGCAAAACCCAGCATCTCTTGAAATGCTTTCACAAATGGAATGTGCATCGATAATTGCTTTAGGATGTCATAGTACTTCTCGAGTTTGCTATCATCAACCCTTCTAGCTAGACTTTGAGGGAAAAGAGGGGGAGGTCTAGGAATTGGTGCTAGAGGTTTTGGTGCCTCTATTACCTTTTCCTTAACCTCTTCATGGTTCACTTCTTGAGCTTTCACCTTCTTTGGGAGTCTTTTAACTTCAATAACATTTGGCACCTCAACTTGTGCCTCGACTTCTTGTTCAGAATCTTCCACTTAGACCACTTGTTCATTCTCTCCTTGAAGTAGTTTCCCACTTCAAGTTGTAATGGTCATACAATGATAGGTTGGGCCACTCCCACTACCTTTTGGGTTTGAAATTGTATCACTTGGGAGCGTGCCTTTTTTCTTCGGATTTTGTTCTCTTGAGAAATCTCTCATTTGCATCTCCAACTTTTGAATAGATGCGGTGTGAGAACCCACAAGCTTGGTCATATTTTTCATTGAAGTATCGAATCTCTCTTGATTTTGCAATACTCTTTCAAGCATGTTTTCCAACTTGGACTCACTTGAAGAACTCTCCTTCCAATGTGGAGAGTTAGAATATTTCCCCTTTGGTGGAACATAGGGGTTTGAACTCCGATTAGAAAAATTGTTGTTGTTACTCCAATTTTCTTGATTTGAACTACTTTGGTCGTTTCACCATTATTGGTTGCCTTGCCCTTGGGGGTTAGATCTTCATTTGTGGTGTTGTTCGGAACCTTGATAGGGTTGTCTTTGATATCCTCCTTGTGAATTGTTGACATAATATGCTTCTTCGTATTCTTCAATTGACATTGGTTGCACATCTTCCACAATATTCACCTTTTTTGTTTGGCTTTCAGTGAACATTGTGCATCATCATGGAATTGAAGTTGATTCCTCAAAGATTGACGCCATTCAGAAAATGACCGAGCCAAAGAACTTGAGGGAGCTTCAAAGTCTCCAAGGAAACTTAGCATTCATCCGAAGGTTCATCTCTAATCTGGTTGGATGGTGTCAACCCTTCAATCATCTATTGAGGAAGGATATCCCTTTTCATTGGGATCAGTCATGTCAAGATGCTTTTGAAAGCATCAAAATATACTTGCTGAATCCACCTGTGTTAGGGGCGCCAAAGCTTGGGAAGCCATTAATACTCTGCATCGCAGCACAAGAATGTTCACTTGGAGCACTACTTGCTCAAGAGAATAAGGAAGGAAAGGAACAATCCTAGTACTACCTCAGTCGAACTCTGATAGGAGCTGAGTTGAACTATACGCCTGTTGAGATAATATGCCTAGCACTACGTTATGCGATAAAGAAACTAAGGTATTATTTTGAAGCGTACACCATCAAACTCATCTCTCGAGCAGATCCCGTGAAGTTTGTGATGACTCGACCTGTTCTTTCTAGATGCCTAGCAAGATGGTCCATATTGTTTAACCAATATGAGATCACATACACGCCTCAAAAGGCTATGAAAGGAGAAGCACTAGCCAATATTCTGGTTGATCACCCTCTTCCGGCTGAATGGGAGCTTTCTGATGAGTTTCTAGATGAAGATGTTTTGTTCATTGAAGAATTGCCACCATGGACAATGTTCTTTGATGGATCTGCATGTTGTAACGGTGCATGGGCAGGTGTTGTGTTGATCTCTCCAGAAAGACAAGTCTTGCCATTCTCCTTTGCTTTAGGTGAAACGTGCTCCAACAATGCCGCAGAGTACCAAGCTTTGATCGTTGGTCTCGAAATAGCATTAGACATGAAGATTCTACAGTTGGTGATCTACTGCGACTCTATGCTGATCATCATCCAACTAATAGGGAGTTACGACGTAAAGAAGGAAGATCTCTTTCCATATCATCAATATGCTTCTGGTTTACTTGAAAGATTCGACCAAGTGTTCTTAAACCACGTCCCAAAAGAAGAAAATTGCAAGGCTGATACTTTGGCTAACTTGGCCATGACGATGGCACTTGGAGAGAGTGAGTCAACAAAGGTATATGTGTGTTATCGATGGGTTATTCCTAGACTTCTTGATCTTCAAATCAACGAAATCCACCATACGTCTGTTCGAGTGATTAAAGAAGAAGACTGGAGGCAACCACTGATAGAGTACCTTGAACATGGAAAGCTACCTGAGGATTCGCGACAAAAAACATTCATCAAACGAAGAGCTTCACGATTCATCTACAATAAGGGGATATTGTTTCGCTGCTCTTTTGAAGGACTATTCTTGCGATGTCTTGACAAAGAAGAAGCCTGCAAAGTGATGGAGGAAGCACATTCTGGCTCATGTGGAGCACATCAATCTGGTCCCAAGCTCCATTTTCGCATCAAGAAGATGGGCTACTACTGGGCGACTATGGTAAAGGATTGCATGGAGCATGCCAAAAGATGTCAAGCATGTCAATTTCATGCAAACTATGACCACCTGTCACGACTTAATTTAGGGTCATGACCGACGCTTAGGAGCAAGTACTCCCAAGTAAGCTTCAACAGTGTTTTACATAAAATCGGATAGAGTTTTTCCTGTTTTAGGACTTTCCAAAAAGTTTTCCTGTCTCATAAATGAATAACAACAAACCAATATTCACCTAAATCAGTCACAGTCTTCATCAACTAACTGAAAATGGGTTTTCACCAACACTACCAACACTAGCAAACTTACCAATATAATAATATTAAACCTATCTCAAAAATAAGGAAAGAAAGTGCAATACTAGTAACTAGTCCAACATAACGAATGAATACTCATGACACTAATAAAATAACTATGGAGCAACTCTATGAGTTCAAAAGAAAAGATGATAACAATAAATAAACTATTCGCCCACGGGAACTAGTGCGGGGCTCACCAAGAACTATCAACTCGTGTACTGTAATTAACGAAATCCTCGCTCGCATCAACTACTGTCTCTGTAAAAGAAATAGCGGGGAGTGAGTCGCTAGCTCGGTGAGTAATAACACTTAACCACAACCATTTTTAATTGGGGACAAGTCAGAAATACATGCCTGTATAATAGTAATAAAAAATTATTATAAAAATTAAATGTACTTTCAAAACGGTAACAATAATCAGTCTCATCATGTGTTTTCTATAACATAAATCAATTAAATAATTCGCTAATAAACTCAGTAAGCGTTGTCTCATATGAATTCTTTATGTTTGGGAGGTTTCCAAGAAAGGATCATGTAATCTGTATCATTGTGTGGACCCTTTCGTAAAAGGAGTCAAATATAACTGTAGGTCCCTACTCTAGGGAAAACTGTAATTGTATGCTAGTTCTACCTTCCCACTAGCGAGGGCTATAACTGTAATCGGTAATCTGTAAATACAAGGTGCACCAGGTCTAACGAACCCGTCGTTAGCTACGGGATCCTTCAAAGTCTCCTCCCATTTATGCTTTTCTTTGTAAACAGTAAATATTCATACGAAAATAATTTCAAAATAGTACAGGGCATTTCAATTCTTATCAAAACATGTAATCCCATTTAGGTAACAGTAATCATATCTCAAATAACAGTAAAACATGTCTAGTAATAGTGAGAACATTTTAAATAGTTGTAAACATCTCAAGTAAACTGTTCAACACCATATCAAGTAAAGGACTTGTCCCACATGCAATTTCAAACATTCGGTAACAAATATCATTTTCAAAATCATGTATAAACCATGCAAGTTATGAAAACACAAGTTGCGGTAAGATTACTACTCACAATACTCATGCCAAAATATCGAATGCATCACCTCGAACACTCCGTACGACTTTCTTCAGTCTATAATCACATCACATGATCGTGTTAATTACCTTCTTTAGGCTATTTCATAACTAATTTAGAGTACCCAACCCTCGAGATTTTTCACGACCCCAAATTTCCTCTGTAGGAGGTCGTGATGGCACCTAGTCTCTAAGACTAGGTAAGCCTATCAATGCGGAATAATAATAGATATCTGGAATAAATAAACTACAATTCAAATATTTTCAACTCCCAAAACCCGGTAGAAATAAGTCACAAGCTTCTAAGAATTTATTCTATATGGCTCTATACATCAGAGTCTAAAGCAAAATAAGGAATACAACATAGTGAGATAGAAGGGGACTCCGGAGTCTGCGGACGCTGGCAGATATACCTCGAAGTCTCCTCGTACAGCTAGTTACTGATGCTTGGTCTGATAAGATGTAACTGGATCTGCACAAAATGATGTGCAGAAGCGTAGTATGTGTACACCACAGCGTTACCCAGTAAGTGCCAAGCCTAACCTCGGTAGAGTAGTGACGAGGTCAGGTCAGGCCTACTGGAAAAATAAATAATAACATGGTAAAATTTTTAACAATATAATAAGATAAAATGACAATGGAAATGAATCAAGTAGTATGTCACCATTTAATTACACCAAATAATGGTAATTAATACCTCGTGGAAGCAAAACAGAATTCCTTTCATCTTTAAGAAAATCACAACAATAATCAAAGGCAACTGCGGCCATAAATCAATATCCACAAGGGCACTCCCGAGGTAACGCCTCGTAGTCCCAAATCATAAATAAATTCACAATATCTCATTTCCTTATATCACCGAGAGAGACTTCACAATTTATTTTAAAGAAAATATTTTTCCCGAAATAGCATCTCGCGTTTTAGCCATCCTTATCACACCGCATGACTTCTAGTAGTTCCCCTACTAGCCACGCGTATCAAGCCACCCTTATCTCACCGCATGCGTTTCAACACCCAGACCTTATACCACCGCATGCGTACAAAATAAATCAACAATAATATTTTTCCATAATAAAGAGCTCACGGCTCCATCACAATGAGTACGAAAATCTCACAAAATATTCAGCAAAAATAATATTTTACAAATTTAACACCTTGTCTAAATATCAAATTTTTAAATGTAAAATACTTCATTTTTTTATATTTAAATTTAAGAAATTCCACCTTCAAATAATGCACAGAATAAAAAAAACAAGTTTCAGCTAAACAGGTAAAAACAATTAGCAAGAGAGGTTCAAGCAAATTTAAAGTATATAAATCATATCAATGATAAAGAATATAACAAGATAAAATTATTTAATTAATATGTAACAGTGATCTACACAATTTAAAAACACAATCCTTCATATTTAGCTCGTGTACACACTCGTCACTTCGTGTACACGACATTCATCATATTACAATTATCACATCAATACCAATCCTAGGGGAAATTTCTCCCACACAAGGTTAGACAAGTCACCTACCTCGACTTGCTCCAATTTAATCAAGTAGTATGCCTTTTCCTCAATTTTTCGACTCCGATTGACTCGTATCTAGTCATAATTAATTCGATACAGTCAACAAAAATTGTAGAATCAATTCCATAAGAAAATACTATATTTTTAAATAAAATCTGAAATTAACTCAAAAATTACCCGTTGGGCCCACGTCTCGAAATCCGGCGAAAGTTACGAAATATGAACGCCCGTTCAACCACGAGTCTAACCATACTAAAATGACTAAATTCCAATAACAATTCGACCCTCAATTCCTCAAATCTATCCAAGAAGGTTTTCAAAATTTTCCAACTTAAATCACCAATTAACTAATAAAAACAGTGATGGATTTGGGTAATCTAACCAAAATTGAGGTAAGAACACTTACACCAATATTTTCTCTGAAAATATCCCAAAACTCTCCTCAATCCGAGCTCCAAATCGTTAACAATGGAAAATGGGACGAAGTCCCATTTTCAGAACTTAAACATTCTTCCCAGGCTTTTACTCATCGCGATCGCGAACATCCACACGCGATCGCGAAGCATAAATTACCACTGCCCAAATTAACTCTACGTGATCGCGTATATCCTCATGCGATCGTAAAGCACAGAGTTCCCAGCTCTACGCGATCGCAGTCCTCTTCACGCGATCACATAGAGCAAATGCGTGACCTCCACTCATGCTCCGTTACTCTACGCGAACGCGACCGTCTTCACGCGTTCGCGAGTCACAAGGTCTGAAAGCTATGCGGTCGCATCCCGCTTTACACGATCACGAAGCACAAAATTTAGCAGCCCTCAATTAACCTTACGCGATCGCAAACAATGCCACGCGATCGTGATGCACAGACTATCTCAACCTACGCGATCGCGGTTGACCTCACGTGATCGTGAAGAACAAAATTAACATTGCCTCAACTATGCCTACGCGATCGCGTCCCAATCTTCGTGATCGCGAAGAAGGTTTAAAATACCAGAAATCAGCAGCTACCAGCAAAGCCAAAATGAAGGAAAATACTCTGAATACCATCCGAAACATGCCCGAGCCCCTCGGGACCTCAATCAAATATACCAACAAGTCCTAAAACATCATACGGACTTAGTCGAGTCTTCAAACCATATCCAACAACACCAAAAACACGAGTCATACATAGATTCAAGCCTAATGAACTTTGAAACTTTCAATTTCTACAAACGACACCAGAACCTATCAAATCAAGTCCGATTGATCTCAAATTTTGCGCGCAAGTCATAAATGACATAACAAAGCTATAAAAATTTTCGGAACTGGATTCCGACCCCGATATCAAAAAGTCAACTCCCCAATCAAACTTTCAAACTTAAATTCCTATTTTAGCCATTCAAGCCTAATTTAACTACGGAATTCTAAATAAAATTTCGAACACGCTCCTAAGTCCAAAATTACCATACGGAACTGTTGGAATCATCAAAATTCTATTCTGGGGTCATTTTCTCAAAATGTTGACCGAATTCAAACTTAGCATTTTAAGGCCAACTTAAGGAACCAAGTGTTTCGATTTCAACCCGAACACTTCCAAATCCCGAACCAACCATCCCCGCAAGTCATAAATTTATAAAAGCACATACCGGGAGTTTTATTTAGGGGAACGGGGTTCTAAAAGTAAAAATGACTGATTGGGTCATTACATTCTCCACCTCTTAAACAAACGTTCGTCCTCGAACGAGTTTAGAATTATACCTGGAGTGGTAAAAAGATAAGGATAACAGTTGCGTATATCATGCTCGGTCTCCCAAGTTGCCTCTTCGACCGGATGACCCCTCCACTGAATCTTTACGGAAGCAATGTTCTTTGACCTCAGCTTTCGAACCTTCCTGTCCAAAATAGCCATTGATTCCTCAACATAAGATAGATCCTTGTCCAACTGAACTGAACTGAAGTCTAACACATGAGACGGATCGCCGTGATACTTCCGGAGCATAGAAACATGAAATACTGGATGAACTGTAGAGAGACTAGGTGGTAGTATAAGTCTGTAAACCACCTCTCCAACTTTTTCAAGAATCTCAAAAGGCCCAATATATCTAGGTCTCAACTTGCCCTTCTTCCCGAACATCATCACACCC